TTTTTAATGAAGGTTTTAAACGTAGAAAGGATCGCATCCAGTAAGAGGCATGGGGTGCAACTGTTCATGCAGATAATCGATCTTTTCAAGGAAATTAAACGCCGGGTGGATACGAAAGTGGAAGCAAAGATTCTCCTTATTGGATGAAACAGCCCTACACTGAAGCTGTTGATAACATTTGTGAGCTTGATCTCATTTGTGACCCGACTCCCATCGAAGTTATGCAAACTTGTGTATAAGGGTTGTTTGGGTGAATACGAGTAATACCTGATTACGAATATGAGATTTGTTTTTGTCGTTGGCGCTATTCGGCGCAGATTTCCTGCTCGTCTGCGCCCTCTCACTAATTAGATCGCAATCAGGGCTAAGCCTTCCAAGAGTGGAGGGCTTTGAAGAGTGTAAGCCACTCACCCTGGATCCCAAACTCTTCAATTGCGTGCGTGGTTTTCCCATTACAAGGTCTACTCTCCCTACCCTGAGATTAGTTAAAGGAGCTTCAAGTGAGAGAACCCAGAAAAGCAAAAAAAAATCAGCGTTAAAGAGTGCGAGTGCCAACGCGAATGTCATATTCGCAACCAGAAGCCCAAATGACCCCGACACACGTGTTTACAGCGAATTTGGTAAAAACAGCGCCAAAATTGAGTGTCACACTCGTGATCAGGAGCCTCGATTTTTGACTCCACTCACTCCCACTGGGTAAACGCAGCAGATATTACAAAGTGCTGAATGTACAGATTCGTTGGTCGCATGAAAGTTCTTGGACATTACCGTTTTGATGTGTTTTCTTGCGTTGGCAGGCAAATGCCTACCGTCGGACAACAGACCACAAGCCACTGAGAACTCACGTTAGACACGAGCACATCCATCTGTGAACGTCCAAAATTGCGCAGCACTGCCATGCAAATAAAACCGAGTATTCCGATAATCGAAATCGCCATTGGCAGCAAAGTGAAGTGCGTCTCGCTCCTGAGTAATGGAAGGGATTCGTCATGCATTAGGTGGCGAATTAGATGTTTTACCTCATAGTGTGCCTTCGCCTTTTCCATAACCAGGCTTTGATGAGCGCGGCATAAACCGACTCAATAGCTGATTTTGTCCAAGGCGAAAATCTCCAGAGATGGAATTTCGAGAACAATGCCAGATCCATGTGCTCCGCTCATCGCACCACTGCTTCAGTAATAAGAATAAGGAAATGAACAGCAGTGCATAATCCATCTTCAGCCACTAACTACATATCGTAGGCCAGCGCCGATTGCAGACAGAGCCACTACAGCATTTCCTTTTTTTCGTTTGGATGGGCCAGGATACGTTTTTGGCTCTCCCATTTCTTCGCGAAACACATACGGCACACAAACTGAACGACAGCTGCAGTTCCTACTGCCTTCAGTTGTGCCTTCCCTAGTCGGTGGCCGCATTCAGGACAAAACCGAAACAGCGACATCAGCATTGCGCCTTGCACCATAAAAAACTTCTTCGGCACGGGTTCATCTGTCTCTTCAACATCTCCCAATACAGAGGTGTAGTCCAAATCTTCGCTGCTGCGCTTGTAAGTACGGTCGCTGGCTCTTGCCTCGCGCTCGGACACCTAAATCCTCATTTAGCGGTGCAGAATATTTAATGAAGTGTTAACAACCTGAGCGCTCTCCAAGGACGCTGCACCATCGTACTCCTGTGCCATCTCAACTCCATCCCGAAGTATCCATCTGTTCGTTTACAATCGGCTCAGAACAGGCCAAGGATTTGCCGACGGTTCCATTGGGTGCAGCTTCCTCCAACCATTCCTGAAACTCCTACTGTTGCATGGTTCAAAGAATAATTGCGATGAGTGTATGTCTAGACCTTCTCATCTGCTCTCCACGACTTATTTCCAGCTGCAGATTCTTGGACTGCGCCATGAGTCCCGCAGATCTAGATTCAATTGATGCTCACTGAAATTTTCTCAAATGGCAATGATTTTTCCAGCACCTGCTTTGTTTCTCGCCATATTGTTGTTGAGTAGTAACGTTTCAGCGCGTCGTTCATGAACCTGCTGACATCACGAGCCGTAATGCTAGCAATACCCTGAACTTGTATTTCTTCCCATTTCCAATAAGAATCATGTCAATTATCATAAATACAAATCATACTCTTGCCATAGCGTTGAAGGCATTGACTACGTGCTGTGGAATGTCGCCATTCGTTACACACACCTTGGGTCCAGGTAACCACGGATCATCATACTGAGCGATACCCTTGCCTTCCACTGCCATTTCCACGGATATATATTTAGCCTGTTACACGGACAGATAATACATACGTCTCTATTTAAATTGTGGTTCGCTTACCGCTTGCACGACATGTTCGTCACATAAATATACTCTTCGTAACGTGGCTGGCTCCACAAGTCTGCGTGCGTACCCCACTTCGATGTACCCAGCTGATGCTAGAGACATCAACAACACTATGTTCTGTTCCTTCGCCATGGACGATCTTCTTGCATTGGCAGAAGACAAAAGAGTTTTACAAAATGCACAGTTCACCATCGTTCAATTCACTGAAACACATTATACAGTCTACATCCGAGAGTTGGAGGTAGGCGTGTCACCGGAAGTGGCGTAGCTGCCGCCGCACTTGATAGAAGTTGCGTGGATAAGCTGTTGCCAGCATGCTTTGCTGATATCCAGCGATGTATGTTGGAAGCAGCTTATCCACATAGCTTCTATCAAGTGCACGTCACTTCCGGTGACACGCTACCCCAACTCTCAGATATGGAATTTAATCGTTACTACAACACTGACATGAAGTCATATCCCGGCTACGGTGTGTCATAGGCCGATGTCATAGTTGAATCGACCGATGCACCAGCGAGTCGAACGATGTACCAGCGACTCAATAGTGGCGGGACCCAACGTTCAAAGGAAGCCCGCCACTTTCAAACAGTGTCACGTGACAGTGGACCCTTTTTGAAAGTGGCGGGACTTGACAGTGGACACTGTTTGAAAGTGGCGGGCTTCCTTTGAACGTTGGGTCCCGCCATTGAGTCGCTGGTACATAGTTCGACTCGCTGGTGCATCGTTCGATTCGCTGGTGCAACGTTCGATTCGCTGGCGCAACGCTCGGATCCAGCGATTCGCTAGCGAATCGCTCGATTCGCAAACTATGACATCGGCCATACAGCTCGCCGTCAGATTGCGCTAGTCTATGGACTTGACGTGTTTGCCGCCGCACTTGATAAAAGTGCGTGGGTAAGCTGCTCCCAGTCTGCTTGCTGATTCCAAGCGAAATATGTTGGAAGCAGCTTATACGCGCGACTTCTACCAAGTGCGGGAGTTGCCACGTCAAGACACAAACCCGCCTAATCAGGCGGAGCACAAGACACAAGACCTTCCTACCTCGCAATATCGCAGATTCGATTAGGACCGTGCGGACAGCGTCCGACAGCGCAGACTATGAAAGCAGTCTTACAAACAGTCGCGCCTACACTCTTCAAAAAATACGGCGCGCCTATACCACGCCTTGCACCACGACCCAATAATAGCGTTATATCAAATTAAGAAATTTTGGCCAAATGTCGAAGTTGGACTTCGCCATTGGAGTGTTAGGCCGCATTCATACAGTGCGTACCAAAAGTATGTGGACACCCTAGAATCGATTCTCAGGAGTCAGCTAAAGGCTTTTTGTGTTATGAAACCTTCACCATTCAACTCCTAGTGGTCGATAACCTACAATGATATTTTCGGCAAAAGATTTCGTTCTAACTTAGCGAACTATTTTTCATGGAAAGTTTTTTCTTTGTATCAAAATTATGTGGACACTTTTTGAAAAACGGCAATATCTTCAGAATCTGAAATCGGTAGGCCTACCAAAGTTTCTAGTAAGTTGAGCCATTCTGTTTGGCATGCTATGAATGGGGTCTGGATACATGTCTTGCAGATCTGTTCCCAACTAGCAAATTTCACCGACGTGTTAGGTCACTTGTGATATTACTCTTTTGTTCAATGACGTAGAGACCGCGAACCACGATACCTCTACGTTTTCAATAAGGATGAAGTCTGAGGAATACGCTAGCCGACTTGCCAATCAAAGCCGTTTGCGTTTAGCATTTTCACAATGACATGGCTCGTCAGGAACCCCCTGCAAAACCCACATAGATTTGCCGACCAGACTTTTTAAACACCAGGGCACAGCCGAAAGACCTCACTCAAGCCACCTCATTATAATCCTAGTCGTCTACCTGACATGTTGGCAAGCCAAACTTCAATGTCCCCTCCTTTTGGAACCACCCCAGACCTTTGATGAACATCTTCCGAATTGTCTCTTCGAGCACATCTGCGGGTCCGACCAAAGTCTCTCCAAAAACCTCAAGACCCACCCGAATAGTAAGGAATAAGCCTTTTCCACAGTCGAAGTTGGTCTATGAGAGAAATATCTTCCACGGAAAGTCTTTTATACTAATTTTACCATTTCCACGAAAGCACTGTCTGTGTGGGTTCAAAGTATCATGTTGTGATCCTTTTTTGAGTGGAATTCCAACCTTGCCAACCTGAACCCGCATTCATATACAAAGCCTTCTTCATCTTCTTTCGTGTCGTGTGCTCAATTTGAATGAATGAGACACAGATTGGTTTTTTCAAGACCGGGAAGATCATTTATGCGTAGAGTTGAGTATCCCTCCAAAAGACAAATTTGGGGGAGACCAAAATTAAGGCTATTCTTCTCCTATTTGAATAAGAAATTAGATGAAACAACCCTCAGTCAAGGTCGAGAGCTTAGCATCAGGATTTCGGATTTCTCTCCAAACCTACGAGGACGCATGACTGGTTGACGTGCTATTTCGCAATAGGAAGGTTCAGAAGCATGGGGATCCCATTTCTGTGCTCGGTCTTCTTCAGAAAAACGCTTGCCGTGAAGAGGAATGATGCCAGAATAAGTAACGAAAGGAGAAGTAAAAATAGGTTAGGAAATCGATGCAAAAACTTCATCTGCCTCAGGGTGTCCACATAATTTTGATACAAAGAAAAAACTTTCCATGAAAAATAGTTCGCTAAGTTAGAACGAAATCTTTTGCCGAGAATGTCATTGTAGGTTATCGACCACTAGGAGTTGAATGGTGAAGGTTTCATAAACAGCAAAAAGCCTTTAGCTGACTCCCTGAAGAATCGATTCTGGTGTCCACATAGCCCCTTTGGGTACCACTGTCACCCCGAGCAAAAGGATAGTAATCGCGCCCAATGAAAATAGTAATGCCCTATTTCGACGGGGCTAACAGATACTAACACGATAGGAGGTCGGTTTTCACAAGATCAGATACCCACTTTGTCTCAAATCAAGACGCCTACCTACACTACTCTCCAGGGGCGGTATTCAATCCTTCCCCCAGGGGGATATATCCCCCTCCTCTGATTCAATCCTCTGGGGGGACAAAAAAGGGTTGCGTCATAGGACCTAGCATACCTCTGTGTTTCTACCTGCCAGACAGTTAGAGCAGCGCTACTACCCTCCACTGATGAAGCACTCTTTTCCCTGAGGGGTCGCGCTGCTCTAACTGTCTGGCAGGTAGAAACACAGAGGTATGCTAGGTCCTATGACGCAACCCTTTTTGTTGCATAATTATAAGATTACTCTAGAATTTTGCATTTCCGGAAACAAGCAGCCGGCTAGTAATTTTTCCAGTATTACCAGCTGATTCCCTCACTATGAAAAACCCCTGGATCGCAATTTTGGCGGGAGCAGCTTTTCTTTTAACTTTTTTTTATAATTATTTTTCGATTTTTGCACCGTTTCATATAAGGTCACCCTGTGAAAATGAATACTACATTATCGGAAACAACCAACCTGCCTGTGAAATTGAATGTTTGTTACAAACACACCCATTAGCTAAATTTATGGAATGTTTCGTATTCGTCTTTTGAAGAAAAGGTAAAGTTTATGCATTTCATGGTGCTCGGCACGGTTCGGAGTCTTTCCAAAGCATTTCGAAAATCCTTACAGTCCATATCTCGAAGTCTGATTGGGCGTGTCACCGGAAATGACGTGGCAGCCACCGCACTTGATAGAAGTTGCGCGGATAAGCTGCTTCCAACATGCTTTGCTGATATCTGGCGGAGTGTTTTATCCACACAACTTCTATCAAGTGCGGTGGCTGCCACGTCATTTCCGGTGACACGCCCAATCAGACTTCGAGATATGGGGCGTATGCTATGCTCCCCGAAGGGGTTAGGGGACGAAAATTCCTTTAAATTTTCTCTGTCTTCCCAACTGGGATTGCCCTGATAAAGGGTGTATGTATGTAGGTAAAAGTAAACATGCACTGAAAATGAAGAAACTATATCGTTCAAAACAAATAAATTTAAAGGAAACTTTGGATCACCTAGCTTCGGGGAAGCATAGCACGTTGTCAGGAAAGCGACAAAGATGGTCCGAAGGCTCACTGGCCATTACGAGGAAGCACAACTTCAACCCGTAAAGTTGAACTTAGAGAGAGATTGAACAAAGTTGAGCCTGCGCCACAATCGCACCATACAGCAAGATAATTTCAGTAGGGTTGGTATTTTTGGATAAAACTGGTTTAAACAAACAGTTTCTGCGGATATAACACTTTTGCAGTGACTTGCGAAGGTGGCCGATTCACTTCA